TCATCACTTCGCTCTATCACGCGACTTGTCCGCAGTGACGTCAGAACAGGTCCACCTGCTCCCAGGGACAAGATGGCGTCGTCTCGGCCTCTCCTGCTTTTTAGCCGTAGCTTTGCGGGTTCTCTCTGCGTCTTCCTCGGCCTGTTAAGCGTTTTCGTCGTGGGTAAATGTGACGAGCAGGTGCCGCTTCTTCTGTGGACGAGCGAAGGGTAAAAAAGTGTTTGTGCCCGTGTGTGTGCTACTGGGGACGGATGTGGGAGGGATGGAGGGTTAACGGTGCTGCGGCTAACTGTCAACTGCTACACAGAAAAGGATTTTGTTGTCTTATAAAAACGAAATTGCTTTTGTAAAATGGCGTCATTTATTTTAACCTCGTCAAACACTGACATTGGAAGACACCACTGCTTCTGCATATCACCTTTCATTATCCCTTTATTAATTATTTAAAGCGACTCATTTTATTGTAGAACTACATTTACAGTGTACGCACCAGCCAATAATGTTTCTGTTAGAGAAATATATACAGTTTCATTTATATGGATGGGAGTCAATGTAGTATCATATACTTTTGTACGGTACGCAACCGTAGTTTGAAAGGTAGTTTTGAAATAAACCTATCTATAACATCTAGAGATGTGTCTTATTATTTTTACTGGGCCGGTCATTCTCCTGTCTTTATTTTCTAATGTAAACGCTTGCCAAAAGAGAAAAATAATTATGTTTCATATAAACATGTTTTTATTTGAAGTAATTGACATCATTTGAGGGCAGAATTCCAACAGACAGTATCAAGGTTTTTGACAAGGGCGGCTGCACATACGCTTATATTTCTCTTGTGGGACATTTGAACATTTTTAAGCAGCATCTCCATCATGTTGTGTGTTCCCGACCTTGGCTTCTTCACGTCTGATCTCTTAAAAGGCCAGCAGCTTCCTTTTAGTCTACGTCCCTTCTCTGGCTGCTACACTCAAGGGTGTTATTTAAGCACAAACTTTGCGCAGGTTGATATTATCCCGACTTATGTCTGGGATTGGAAGGGAGTGCGCCCTCTAGTGGCTCGGTAACCACGTTTTGTTTTTTTTTGTTTTTTTAAATAGCAAACCAACTACAGCAGTAACTTCTATACTCAGACACGACACGTGCTTTTTTTCATTCATTCGTTTCCTTGAAGTGCTGTGGTGACCCAACACACTTTGAAAAATCTCTGTGCTAAACAAATCTATTTCGTTAGTTTGCATGTTTTTCATGTAATTGCATTCTTATTTTATGATGAAAGATATTAAAATGAATAGGTTTTTTTAGAAATAAAAAAAGGAAAAATGAAGAACTGATTTTTGATGTTTCTGTTCTCTCCACTAGAACCTCAGTGCCAAGTCAGACTTTGCCTCCTGCAGGGCACATTGTGGGGCAGCAGCAGCTTGCAGCTTACCTGGAGAATGTTCTGAATCTGGGTCCAAGAAATGTGGTGCTGTTCCTACAGGATAAGGTACGGTTTTTCCTGTCGACCTTCTTGAATAGAGCCTGTCACTGGTTTTGTCTATCTATTAAACTGTTTGCTGGACAAAAAGCAAAGTTCTGAGATGTTTAAACTCAGGTGTGGTTTTTTTTTTACTCTGTTATGAATTAAATTTTTTCTGTTAACTTAATTTTTCTAATGGTTTAGCAACATTAATTTACATTTTGGGCAAAAGCTATAAAACTGTTGAAGGCAGTGTTGAGTTTAAGAGCAAAACCACCAGTCTTTTGAATAATTCTGTTTAGTTTTTTTCCCTAGTTTTAGTCGACTAAATATCATAAGCTTTTTAGTCCGGTACATCTATTATAGGCGTAGTCAACTAAATGTATCTCCCGAATTTCCAGTCGTTGGAAATATTCATCACCCATCCCACGTACCCTGCAATATCAGTGACACATTGTAGGTAATGAAAAATTTGCTTAAGTTGTCCTGCTTCTCTCTCCACTTTGAATTAAGAAATTAAAAGTAATGTAAAAATGTAAATACATAACAATACATTAAATGTAAATGTAATGTAATCAATTTTCAAATAATTCTTATGATGGCTTTGGCTCCGTCTTGTTTTGCTCCTGTAAACCCAATATGTCTCTACTTGCAACATTTTTTCTACCATACAACATTTTTGGTTGTCTGTTGAAGCAACTCTTTGTCCCAAATTTTGTATCCAGTTGAGCATTGAAGACTTCACCATGTACGGAGGAGCTTTTGGGAACAAGCAAGACAGTGCTTTTCCCAACCTGGAGGTGAGGTTTTGGTTGGGACAATTATAATAAATGATGAGGGTTCAGACAGATGCTTTAAATTTTTAAAAGAAGTGACCTAGAAATATATAATATGTCCTTTGTACTGTAGTTTGAAGGGTTCCCATGGTTACTTAAAATATCAACCAATCAGCTAAATCTACCATAATTTATTTTCGTAATAAAGGAACTTAAGGTGATGTTTAAAAAAGCTTACCTTACCCAAGGATTTTATTTACATTAGATGTGTGCTTTGATAAAATATTACACGCTCCTGTGTTGGAAATGCATTCACAAAATCTAGTTCGTCATTCTGCAATAATAAAATAATCATAATAATTTGAATTTGACAAAAATAATACATTTTGACCTGTTCTAGGTGCTTGTTTAAATCCACGTCTCTTCTACGTTACTAGGGGATGCTGCTGTCCTCGTCTTCTTCGCTGGTCTTACCGGCAGTGTCCTTACCCGCCTCCAACGCAGTTATTGGCCTGCTCCAGGACCAGTTAGAGACATCGCCCCTGTACATGGATCCTGAGACTCTCAGTCAGCTGAGACTCAACGCCTCCTCACCTGCCCTGCTGGTCTTTAGGCTGCCCTATGGTGGCGGGTATGCATACTTCAAAAAAATTCTCAGAATGCAGCATATAAAAAAAATCTGAGCTGACGCATCCCGATTGAGAGCTGCGATCATGTGACTGCTAAAGTGACAGCTGCTGAGTACTTTATGCAGTAGTCTGACCACTCTGTATTTGCAACACAGTTAAACAAACGTGATCAAAAACGAATTCTACCGGAAAAATATCTCTGGGGTTGCTGATATAGAAAGGTAAACAGTGATATGATTGTATTAACTTTAAACATTTTCCAGATCAGACCTGATGTCAGCCAAAGAAATCCTCAGTGGAAACGGTGAGTTTATATTTTTATATGATGAAAAGATGAGTTAAATCAAACCGTGATTTCACATTTCTGTAGAAGTGACATATTTTGGCTTGGTTTTTGGATTTTTGAAGATGTCTTATTTTCCATCTTTGTTTACAATAAATTATTTACATGAGAAATCAGCTATTTTGGCAAATATTAGTCAATTCTAACCATTGTTAGGAATGACAGTCCAAATGTACCGTACCTGCATACAGTTCTTATTGTGTTTGTGTTTGTTAGGAATGACAGTCCAAATGTACCCTACCTGCATACAGTTGTTATTGTGGATGTGTGTTTATGTTTCAGACGAGGTGGTTGGTCAAGTGCTGAGCATCATGAAGACTCAGGCAGTTCCATACACAGCGGTCTACACCGCTCTGAGGGCGTCCAGGGTGAGTTTACCTCGTCTTATGTCTTTAATCTACGGCCAACACCAGCTGACACACCAGTTCTGTCACTGTGACTCAGGATGAACTGTCTCAGTGGACCGATGCTGGTGTGGGTGGAGGGCGCTCTCTGCTGCAGTACAGAGGTGGATACAAGGGAAAAAACCGGGACAAAGACAGGGAAGGAGAGAAGGAGATGGAGAGGCAGAAGAAACTGGAAGAGAGAAAAGGAGTCAATGCTCCAGTGGAGTTCAAGGTAAAATGACTCACTCATATCTTTTCAAAAAAGATTTCATTCTTGTTGTTTTTTTTTAAAAAAAGGATGAATGTGGCAGTTGAAGTCCATCATCTTCTTCTCTGAGCCCAGGAAGGAGAGGAGACCTGTATTCTGATGTGGGCCAAAGGTCTTTCAGTGAGCATTCTGCGCAGCGGCCAGTGGGAAGACCACGACCTGACGGGATCCACCTTTGGAGAGGGAGCCAATCCCAAACTTCACGGCTCCAGCTGCGACAAAACCAGGGCAAAGTAAGGCAATGTGATGCAGCTGTATCAGTAGCCTCAGGAGGAATTATGACAATAAAGTAGAGTGAAAACTCGGGTTTCGAACTTAATTAGTTCCTAATTTTGAAAACTGAAACAATAAGTTCTAACACGAAACCAATTAAAATCATTAGATCTGAGAAAAAAAAATGAACACAACTGAATAAAGAATAAAGCTAGAAATAGGAAATGCAATTTCATTCATCCTTATCGCTGATGAGGAGTCCTAACGTTCATTTTGCTTTCTCACAAATGATTGTCCTCGAAACAGTCGCCGGCCAACTGTTTTTTTGTTGATCCAAATCAGTAGCAACTTTTCTGCATCACAGTCACTCCTTTAGCAACCCTAGCTTCTTTTATTGCTTTCTTGTTCGTAATGATGATACAAGTTGTATATAATATATTTTTAGCTTTTGACGATATGATATCAAAGATTGTTTGAGATTTGGTTTTCTCTTGAAACTCCAGTGTTTGTGGTTTTTTTGTTTTTTTTCTAACAAGACATACCATAAATGTCTAAAATGTCTAGATTCTCTCTTCATCTTCAGGTTGGTCCTAAATTATGAGAATGTCCTGGCTCATCGCAGCTTCAAACTGATGTAGGTTTTCCACCACATTTAGTTAAGTAATAGTTGTTATCATTGAGCATTTTGTCAAAACATTTTGTCCTGTGTGTCCAGCTTTGTCATGAGCCAGCGTCACTACCAGGTGTCGGGCCGCCGCTGGTTCACACTAGACGCCGTGGAGCTGGAATACGACGGAACTAAAGCCATATTTAACGGCAGCCGAAATATCTACGCCCCCGCTGAGTATTCATACCGTTGCCAATCAGTCACCAACTTCCGCTGGCCACTGCTGGTCCCGCGCTCCTCTAAAGATCCAGCCAATCAGTGGAGGGTCTCCTTTGATGACTTCCAGGTAAGGCAGACTTGTCTACGGCTGTCTACGGCAAAGTGAACCAAAGGTGTTAAACTGTGGGGAAATCCTTAGGCTCGTGATTGGTATTTTATGACTCTGTTCAAAGAGAGACAAGTTTAACTGTTCTGCCCCACTGCAGATCCAGGGCTTTAACGTGAGCAAAGGAGACTTCTCCTACGCCAGTGACTGCGCCGGATTCTTCTCTCCCGGCATCTGGATGGGCCTCATGACCACTCTCCTCATGGTTCTGGTCCTGACCTACGGCCTGCACATGATCATGCAGCTTCACACCATGGACCGCTTCGATGACCCCAAAGGACCAGCCATCTCTGTGCCGCAGAACGAGTAAATACCCCCACAGTCTGTCCTCTGTCCTCTGTCTGTCTGTCCTCTGACTTCTGACCTATGTGCTCCTGCAACCTGTTTTTCTTGGCTGTGTCTCAAGAAAAAACCTGTTCATCTCAGACGAATCCCTCTGCTATCCCGTCATCTGTCTGTCATCTCTGCCCTCTGATAGTCCTCTCTCCACTGACGAGCTCCTGCAAGTCTATATTTTAATAGCCTGTCCCACCTCTGTCTTCCCCCCTGTCCACCCTCTTTCTGTCGTTAGAATAATTTATTTCATTTATTTCAAGAAAATACTATTTGACAGAAACATCAAGATTTATTCAGAGTTTAGTCTATCATCAGCTAATGTAGGACATATGTTTAACTGTGAAACTTAAGAGTTACTTCATATATCTAAGACACTCAAAGTGGATGAATAAACTGATTTTTTTTTTTTTGTTTGTTTACCTTGATGCAAATGAATTGGGGTGCAGCATTAATGCTCCAAGTAAATGTCATTAATAAAGTGTGAAAGTTCACACTTTATTAATGACACTTTAAAAATAGAATCCAGTTACCTTTGATTTTCTGTGAAAAAAAAACCTAAAGCTAAGCATTATTTATTTTTTTGGAGGTCTTGTGTGAATTGATGAGTATGGGTAGAAGTGTTGTTTGTTGTTCTAGTGTGATACAGACAAACAACTGTAGCCTCTGTTTCTGTCCTTGGCTGTTAGTTACTCACACACAAATGGATTCGGTCGGTCGTCGACGTGTCGATGCTGGAGTTGATGTTAGTAATATTATAAATGTACAGAAAAAAAGTTTAAGTATTTAATGATGAACTGCTGTCCGTGTCAGTAACTGTGTTGAAATGTAGCTGTGAATGAACAAGACATCAATCAGTTCGGTCTGTACTATTTATTCTTGAAGGGAACCTGATAACGTTTGGTCACTTTTTCTTTTAAACTGTGAAGTTATTATATTTAAGATGTTTAAAAAAAAATTCATAGTGAATTTTTTTTTGTTTCTTAATTTGTTAATTCTATTATTATTTATTTCTATTATTATTTAAGATTTTATGAAATGTGTGAAAGAGTTTACTTTTTGTGTGGTGAATATTGAGGAGTAACTTCCTGTAATTGCAGTTGTTTTGTTGTTGTGGCCCAAATAAAACAATACAAAATAATTTAGTTTTGTCTGTTCAGTAATAGGTTTATTAATAATCACTAATCTTAAACTAAAACCTATCCATGTATGTTTAAGTGACATGTATGTCCTCCTGACAGGTTACACAGATTTGGCCAATCGCAGCAGCTAATAGAGAGTGCCCCCTATTGGGAATGTAGGATTAGCCAATAAGTTGGTTCAATTGCCGTTTAATTCAAAATATTTTTTTATTTTTCAAAGTTACGTAATGTTTTATAGATACATGGACAATAACACCAGTCTAGGCGAAAACTTCCACAAATGCAGTGAATCACACACCCAGAGGTACTAACTACTTACGTTTCCACTAGGTGGTGCCATTTGGCCAAAATATGAAATCTATAGATAAACAGGTAAGGCTTTGTATTTTTTAAATTTCAGTTATCTTTTAAGAATAGTATTCCATTCATTCCTACAGTCACTTTATTGTATTTGGATCTGGGCTTTGATCAAATTACCATTATTTCCTACAGTTAAAGCCATGTTTAATTACCCTTTTAACAAAGCCCACATAAGGTCAAAGTAAACCTGTGTGGTTCATAAAAAAAAAGCAAAGCTAAATTGTTTGTTATACGATTTGAATGAATTTGAAATGTTGAAAAAAAAAATTAAATTAATAATTAAAATGTAAATATATGAAGAAAAAGAAACTGGTTTTATGCTAATTTTTTTAATTGAAATATGTGTTTTGTTCAGTTAAAAACAACACATCCATTGAGTTTTACCGTCAGTTAATGATTGCATATGTTTGTGTTTGCAGCTTTCGAGGGCAAAGTTCACAAAGTTCAAGGTGTGTGTGTGTGGCAAAGAGAGCGAGGGACAGAGAGAGAGAGAGACAGTTATGGTCAGCAGTCGTAGTAGCGGCAGCGGTGAGATCACAGCCTGGACTCCTCCTCAGCAGTCCCGACTGAGCTTTAGCTCTGAGCCCGGGTCATGTTGGGAGAAGAAAGAAGAGGAGGAAGATGAAGATGAAGGAGAAAGAAGTTAAAGTTTCTCCTCTAAAGAACTTTGTGGCAGGAGGAGTTGGAGGAGCCTGTCTCCTTCTGGCTGGACATCCCTTGGACACCATCAAGGTCTGACAACTAGTTTATGTTACAATCGGGGTTTACATGTCCTCTACCTGTGTGCGGGGGGGAGAGGGGTATCCATAAACACACTGGTTTGGATTCAAGTCAACAGCTAACTCACAATTACTAACATGAAAAATAAGTGTTGTTTGTTTGCAAATTGGAATGATGTCCTATCTAGGAAGTAACACAGAATGTGAAGAAGAAGAAAAAGGAGGAGGAGTAGGAGGATTTACAGGAGGACAAGACTCTAATCCATCAAATCCACTTAATTAAATCAGATTAGCTCAGATTCAATGATCACATGTTTCCGTAGTCGCTTTTACACTTCACACACGAGGGAAGAGGAGACATGCAGCTGAATTTTCAATATTTATTCCAGAACATTATGTAGCTCTCTGTCATCATTCAAAGACAATGGGAGGCAAATACATTGTAATCTAACCTGAGAGCCATAAAACATCCTCATCCTAAATAAAAAAAAAAAAATATATTGCTCAAGTCAACTAGTTATTATTCATATTTTTCATTTAGATACATTTTGTCAATAAAAAAGGATTATATTTGCATTATTGAATACAGGTATAAATCCACATTGTTCATTGCTGTCGTGCTTTCGACTAAACCACTGCGTCCTCTTTTTAACCGGTCACACCTATAGAAAATTTAAAGAAGAAATTATCAACATTTGGTGAATTTTGTTTGTTTGTTTGGAAGGAGAGAACTCTATTGCATGTGTGAGCGTGATTCATTTTACCAGTAGCCTTTTTGTTGTGTAAAAAAAACGATGTGTTATTTCTCTCACACATTGTGTTTTCAGCGGCCATCATTATTTACACACTAACCAGTTATGGTCCAGAGCAACTGAATCACTTTATCAGTGTCTCCAACAGCAAAGAACACTGAGAGGTGTGGCTTTATCTCTGCTACACACACATTTAGAGTGTGTATGTGTGGGTGTCCCCCAGTGAGGAACAGCTAAAGTTTGAATCTCTCTCTCTCTCTCTGTTTTCCTGTGTCTTTCCAGGTGAGACTGCAGACACAGCCGAAACCTTCCGGCACTCAGTGTCTGGTCTACACAGGAGCCTATGACTGTTTTCGCAAAACTGTATCTAAAGAGGTGAATATACACAAATAAGAGTAATACTTGCGACATATTGAAGTATGGGAACCTATTACTCTCCAACACCAAATGTCATGGAGAAAGTCGATATTTTAGTTCACATAATACTGTACACTATATGTAAACATATGATATAAAGCACATAAAGTCACTGACTTTCTTTATGGACTTTGGCGTGAGGGAGTGAATTTAAAACAGAGAGATTTAATTTAATTTAATTTAATTTAATTTAATTTAATTTAATTTAATTTAATTTAATTTAATTTAATTTAATTTAATTTAATATTTAATTTAATATTTAATTTAGTATTTAATTTAATTTACAGACAACCAATGATTTTTATTTTATTTTATTTTATTTTATTTTATTTTATTTTATTTTATTTTATTTTATTTTATTTTATTTTATTTTATTTTATTTTATTTTATTTTATTTTATTTTATTTTATTTTATTTTATTTTATTTTATTTTATTGTCAGTCACCCGAGGGCATCCTAAAAAAAATCACTCACCTGCTTTTGAGAGATCCAGTGAGAGGCTCAAATGTCCTTCGTGGAAACATGACCCAACTGTCACATGAGGCCCCATAAACACGTTGCCTTTCCCCTTGGGAAACAGTGGCCAAAGTCACGTTACATTTCCACAACATACTATTTCAATCTGTGTGTTTGCGTGTGTGTGTCCAGGGCGTCCTGGGCCTCTACAAAGGCATGGGTGCCCCTCTAATGGGTGTGGCTCCGATGATGGCCATCAGCTTCTTTGGCTTCGCTCTGGGGAAACAGTTACAGCAGACGGATCCTGGTAAACCGCTAACGTTAGTGAGCAACGCACTTTTACACAGTCACAAACATTCACACCTGTTTCCATGGTTCCATGCAAAAGCACTGTTGTCAATTAGACTCGTTGATAATTTGTACAATTTCTACAGAAACATTGTTTTAAATGTATTTCTCAATTTGACCTTTCAAATCTGGGGTTCCCAAACACAGGGCCGTGGACTGGTACCAGACCATGGACCATTTGGCACAAGAAGCAACAAATATTATATATTATATATTAGAATAAAATCTATGCAATTATATAAACTGTATGTGCATAATTGTATATATTTTATTAGTCTCTTGAAATATGGTCCAGTTTGAATCTGGTCCATGGCACAAAAAAGGCTGTCGTAGGGTTTCAGATTAGTCCACTGTGATGTGTAGACAACCGATGTATGTTATTCATATTTACTTTTATAAGGTAATTTAATTATTAAAACGTGAAAAAGTATAGACAAAATAATGTTTCAGTACGCAAAAATACGTGAATGTTCTACAAAAGGATTCTATATTTTCTATTTGATTCTTCTGTGTTCTCTCCTCATCAGGTCGACTCAGTTGTTTGTCTCTGGTTGCCTGGCTGGAATCTTCACCACTGTTATTGTGGCTCCGGGCGAGAGAATCAAATGTTTGCTGCAGGTGAGAACATTGTTTTGGCTAAAATGTCGTGTTTTTTTTCTCATAAACAAATTTAAATGCACATTCTTTTAAAAACAATTACTTACTTTCGCGGTCAAGTACAGTTGTTTTTTATTTGATTGTGGTTTCAGGTACAGTCCAGCAGGGGGGGCACTAAGTATTCTGGTCCTCTGGATTGTGCTCTGCAGCTTTATAAGGAGCAGGGAATCCGCAGTGTTTACAAAGGGACATTACTGACTCTAATCAGAGGTGAACCTATTTTTTAACCATCTTTAAAGATTAAAGCCCAATTTAGCTAACTTTAACGGATTTTTCGTGCTTTTATAAGTCTACTTTTGACCGTATTTGATCTATTTTGCCCAAAGCTAAGGTCATTTGGTTGTCTGGTTACTACTTTGGTCACCAAGCTAAAGTTGTTATTTGACAGTTAAAACTGACAGTTATTTTTGACTAGCTTTAATCAAAAATCATAATAAAAATGACTAGCTTATATTTAGACATATTTAATTCTAATTAAATAGAGTTCTTTACTTATATGTTCCTCAGATGTTCCTTCGACTGGTCTCTACTTCCTGGCCTATGAAAACCTCAAAATAAATCTGACACCTGAAGGTCAGAGGTAGGAAAGCTCTGTTTAGAGCAGAGATGGACTGCATATGTATGTGGTGATTTTTTGTACTTTTTAAAGTAATCTTCGTGTACAGTGTTTCTCAGCTTAGCACTCCCAGAATCCTCCTGGCTGGTGGTGTTGCAGGGATTTTAAACTGGACCATTGCACTACCTCCGGATGTCCTCAAGTCCAACTTTCAGACAGGTAGGAGCTAAAGAAGAAGAGATTTAGCTTGTCTTTATTAGCTTATACGTTGAATGTTGAAAATGTGTGTGTACGTTGCTGTGTAGCTGCAGACAGAAAGTACTCCGGTCTGGCTGATGTATTAAAAACCCTGCTGCGTGAAGAAGGACCTAAGGCTTTGTATAAAGGAAGTAACGCCGTCTTCCTCCGAGCTTTCCCTGCTAATGCTGTGAGTTTGCAGTGTCAACACTGGAAGTTTAAATTGACCAAACCTTTATATTTCTATTTATGTGTCTGTTTCAAATCATTTGGAGTTTGTGATGAAAAAACATTACCTCTTCTGTACAAAAAAAAAACCTGCCCTTACTCCCATTTACCAAAATATCTCTCTCTCACTCTCTCTGTCATTTCCTCAGGCCTGTTTCCTGGGTTTCGAGGTGGCTCTAAAAGGACTAAACATTCTTGCACCCAGTTGGTGATATTGGAAAAATTGCGATGAAGATTCATCTGCTTTTCGGCAATTTTCTGGTGCTGAAATATATATGCTTGAATTTTTGTATTTTCTAAAGAAGGACTTGAACGGAATTGCTGTCATGCCGGCTAGCACTGAATCTGTAACCATCGTCTTAGCTATTCATGCTATGTTTAGCATTGTGTCCTGTGCCTTATAAAAGGATCTTCATGTTTTGTTGCCTGAAACATGGAATTAAAATGAACTGTCCGATAGTTTGCATCACCTCATGTACGGAGCAGGCTGACGACTGTGAAGACGTGAATTTGTTTAGCACTGAATAAATCCTGAAATACCTGAAAGTGTTAACGTGCATAACTATTTCCCCTTTAAAGTCAGAGTCTGAATCAGTAGCGGGGTTGCTGGGAGCCTAAAATAAATAGCAGTGAGATTGTTTCTTTAACCAATCAGATTTTGAGTTGGCAACGCCAAGGCCTTCTAGCTGGACCAGAGTTACGTTGGCGATTTGATGGGAGAAAAGAACTTGATATTAGAACCGTAATGGATGGATAATCTGCACAACAGATTGTTAATAATAAACAACTCAACAAACACCTCGAACCTAATGAAATAAAAGAGGAAGCATTTTGTGTACAACTGATCACAGGTCCTGGTGAGTAAAATGTGTGTTTTTTTTAAAAAAAATATTGTAATTGTATTATGTTATTAGCACCTTTGTCTTGCTGGAAGGTAAATCAAATTAATGGTAAACTGAAACAGGTTTTGCTCAGAGATATCAGTTAGCCCTGAGCCCTGAATCATCCTCACAGGATCATCCTCCCTGCCAATAGGTTTTTTTTTTTTTTCTAATTTTGTTTTGTATGGCAGATGGACTGAACAGTGAGGGTTCTGAATGCCCTTATAGTGCCAAATAATTTTCCTTCAACAAAAGATGCACTTTTATTACTGTGCCTATTGCACAAATAAACTCTTCTTATTTATTTTTGTTTTACTGTTATCATTCCCAATATTATTGGGGCAGTTAGGGGACAACGGTCTAGGAAAGTACAACAGGGCAGTATATAAGGCAGCCAATGATGAACAGTTATTAATAATTATACATTTATAAGTGATAATGGACAGTGGTAATTAAACTAACAATAACATTGTTGTTTGCATTTTAGTGTAAGTTAGAAACTAAGAGTTCTTTTAGTAATGGCCTTTTTTGGGCTTTAATGGTTCCATGGAGTGGTGCAGAGTGTATGGTTTATTGTAGTCTTATGAACAGATACAGTTTTTCAGATTATTTTTTTTCTTTTATGAGGCTATAATACTACATTTAAAGGATATGTAATATACAGTAATGCAACAAAAGATTATTATTGAGCATTCTCGACTTCTAATAGTGTCTGTTTATATGTGGAAAATATCAAGTAAAATATTTTAGTTAGTTACAAGACCAACATATTTAACATAAGATACACTTTCTGCCTCTGCCTGAAAAACAAACGGTTTGTTTTCAAAAGTATAATGTGAGTAAAGTAACGTTTTTATAAACATTACGTATTCCGTAAAGTTGAAATAAAATTTAAAAAATCAAAGAATTAATCAATTACTATACTACCTTACCCATAATCCAACGCGCCAGAAGGTCACTTCCGGTGCTGGTGTCCCACAGCTTCAGAGGCTGTAGCGACAGAAAGGTGAAGTGAGGATAGAACATTTGTTTCAATAAAATTTCCAATTTTTTTTTTTTACAAGTCTTTAGTGTATACGTTACAGTAACATTATGCGTCACAGAGCATTCAATTCCATTAGCTTTACCAATGTTATTCTGTTAGCGTTTATTGTTTTTAGCCTGTGAGCGTCAACGACATGAGCTAACAGGCTACCATACCATCAGTGAGCTGCTGAAAAGCAAAAGTCATAAATGTTAAGTTTCCAGTCGGATAATGTGGTTTCCGAGCGTAGAATATATATTTTAACAAAGTTCTCCTTCGCCAATGACAGGAATATAATGTAAGTGTCACTAACGTTTAAACATACAATTCAAGTTTTATTTTATTTTTCAGTGAAACAGTACAGATGTTTATGTAAATTCATCCTCGTTAACATTTCCACATAGTAAATCCCCACGTCTAGCAAAAATAAAGACACTAAGGAGGGAATGACAACACAGCATACTTGTGGCTTAGCAATAATTACACTAGAAATATTTCTGGAAGTTTTTATGATTATTTTAGGAAAATCCTGTACAATCTACATAGTATGAATAAAAAGGATTTTATATTAAGTCCTTGATCCGGTTTTATTTTTTTAGAATAATTTAAAAAAACATTATAATTTCTAATCCATTTCATCAGGGATATGTGTTTGTTTTTTTGCGGGGTCTAAGATTGACATGTATGTGTGTGTGTGTGGATGTAGTGTATGTGTGCATGTGCACTATAGGGATGCCACTCGATGTCAGATGGCCCTTTCCACAATGCCCCCTGCTGCCTTGGAGAATCACCAGTTCCCTGGTCATGGGCATGGTGGGCTCCTACTCCTACTTCTGGACCAGTGAGTTAAAATGCAGCCCCGCACACAACCGCAAATGCAAATGAGCTCAGCTGACTGTGTCTTCGTTTCTGCATTCTAAGAGTACTTGAACTATTTAACCGTCCACAATCACGAAGTGCTGCTAAATCTGGTGGACCAGAGACCTCTGGACACGCCCCTCATCACTCTGTCCAATCACCAGTCCTGCATGGATGATCCACACATCTGGGGTAAAGACACGATGCCATCTTTAAACAGATGAACAGTTGTGGTCCGAACTACAATAGAACCTCTTTGTGGACAGGTATTCTGAAGCTGAGGCAGTTGTGGAACTACAAAAAGATGCGCTGGTGAGTTTTGTTAACGCTAGATATTTAGATAACCTAGAAATGACAATCGCAATGTATATAGAGTAAATATATAATATATACAGTATATATAAATAACCTCAATAGCGTATAAACCGATAAAGTGTAATTATTATCTGTCCGATAATTTAATTCATGTTGATAAAACCACTAAGCCACTACTGCCCCATCAAGATCATGCCAGGATCATCCTTGGAGATTTCAGCTCAGCCTTCAACATCTTCATCCCAGACAAACTTTCCACCGAGCTGACCCAGCTCATTGTGTCAGCTGCTACACATTAATTTATTGTACACTTTCTAACAGAGAAAATCTAGAACCACCAGCAACACACAGACTAGAATTAGAAGCCATATGCTTAATTTATTTAAAGTTTGTTTGTTTAAACATATGGTCTTTATGTCGGCATGTTATCGCACTGCAGCCAAACTTAAAAGGTATATAATCATATAGTTAATAACATGTATCTTTCTCCTACTGATGGATGGACTGATGGACTGAACAGGACACCAGCGGCGTCCGACATCTGCTTTACCAGTGAGCTTCACTCCAGATTCTTCAGCAGAGGAAAGTGTGTTCCTGTCTGCAGAGGTGAGCTTCGTTCTGACATCTGACGGTCTGTGCCTCGTCTTTTCTCACCAGAGTGACAACTCATCTCATTTTCCTCAGGTGACGGTGTATACCAGAAAGGTATGGACTTTATTCTGGACAAACTCAACAAAGGAGAGTGGGTGCACATTTTTCCAGAAGGTATGTTGATGTCCGGTTTATTTCTCGCAACACCCACTTCACGATCTGTTTGTTAGAACATTTGTGAAAGATAAATTCAATAATGTTTCTTTAAAATAAAAACGAGCTGCTCCTCGATTATTATCTATAATAACTTTGGGTCACTGAAAGTAAATCTGGATCTTTTAAACTCCATGGAGGTTGAAGTGAATCATCAGCCTCCGCGAGCAAAACCGTCCCGTTTTCTCTGTAGGCCTTTTTGTGGGAACATTTTTGACAAGCTTCGGTGTGTTTCTTAAAATTGTGCGTTCCTCTTGTGTCAGGCAAAGTGAACATGACTGAAGAGTTCATTCGACTGAAATGGGGTGAGTCCCTCCAACTTTTCCAGTCACGCCCACAAACACATCGCCCTGTGCGTTTGTCATCGTCCTCTAATACTCAGTATTACTTTTGTGCTTCAGGTGTTGGTCGTCTCATCGCAGAGTGTTCACTCCATCCCATAATTCTTCCTGTCTGGCACGTAGGTGAGTATTTTTACTCCTGTTTGCGGGAAATGTATCCATCCATCCTTTCATTTTCAATCGCTTATCCGTTACCGGGTAGCGAGGGCAGCAGTCTCTCCACGACGAGTTCCACACCACTGACAGAGAAATTGGCCTCTGAGCCAAAGCGTCACTGTGGGAAATTCATGATTCTTTTAATTTTGGGTGATATCAAGTTATGACACATTGGACAGAAAAATTACATTATATATATATATATATATATATGTATATATATATATATATATATTATTTTAGTCTTTTTTTGTGAAGCGTCTGCACATCTGTTCAAGTTTGTTCTTTTGACCACTGCCTTATACAAACACAGTTAAAATTCCTAAACTCTTTCTTAAAGAATTACACTATAAAATTATGGAGCATATACAAAAATATATTTAATATTAATAATGTTCCTCCTCTCAGGTCTGAGTGACGTTCTACCCAACATAAAGCCCTACGTTCCACAGATTGGCAAGGTAAGAACATGTACATCACAGCACCAAATATTTTCCACACTTCTGTCAGTGTGGTGAGTGATGTACTTCATCATCAATGGGGTTTTTTTTTTTTTTTTTTTTTTTTTTGGGCTTTTAGAAAATCACAATTCTTGTGGGAAAACCGTTCAGTGTCAAGGACGTTGTTGAATCTCTACGAGCTGAAAACAAGAGCCAGGTGATTCTTAAACTATCTTATCACTTCATTGTCTTCATTGTCAAGTCCCCTAAGATAGTTAATGATCACAGGATCACAGGGTCACAGGGTCACGGCAGGTGTTGATCCACTGCTTCCTTGAGTCACCAAGTTCAAAAACTTGGATCAGGTTTTTAAGAAGTAACCTGTAAACATAACATGCTAAAACGGTTATTTTCTTCTCCCATCGCATTTTTCAGTTAGAAATGAGGAAGACTCTCACCGACTTCATCCAGGGGGAGTTTCGCAGACTGAAGCCTGAGGCGGAGGAACTTCACAGACAAATAAACATAACATCCTGATCCTGCTTCTTCTCGGTCAATGACTGGGCTGATCAATGACTTTGGTCCTAAACCCAACTCTCAGACCAGCTTTACCTCAGTGGTTTTTTCCACACTTCCTGCAAATTTTTACAGAATATGTTTAGTGCCAATCAAAGAGCTCAATGGACTTTTTCAGATGACGTTTTTTAAAAGCAGGATTTTTATTAAAGCTAATAAATTCAGGGCCCTGCTTCCAGAACAGACTCAAATGGATAAACCAGATGCAAAACTGTTGCATGTTGTGCACGAGTCGGAGACGCTGACGTGATCGCAAAGATTCTAGAGTCTGATATCCAGACTCAAGCAGTACTGCATGTAAAATATTAACATGTTATGTTGCCGATTCAGCCTTCAGATGTGATAACAGTTTTTAAACGTCTTCATCATATTCATCTTTTACGCAAGATCAGAGAAGAAACATCAGCAGCACTGTCAATGATTCCTAGCCTTGACCTTCATGTCAGCAGAACACTGTCAGGAATGAAAAAATGGAAAATGAATGCTCTGTGAACGGTTTAGTTACAAACAAGGATAATTGTTTAAACCAAAGTAATGGAGTAATTCATTTTTTATTAGGGTCAAATATATTTACTTTTAACTTACATTTACCATATTTTTTGTTCAATAGATTCACAGACACAATACAAAAATAATTGACTTGCTAATGGAGAAATTCAGTAGTTTTAAGCTCAGGGGGACACAACAGTGACACAATACAAAAATAATTGACTTGCTCAGAGGGACACAACAGCCGTTAAATAACTGCAACCCCATTATTTCAAATTTGTTATTTTGGGATTTCCCTGTTTGATATCTGTTGTTTAGATTTACCTCGACAGAGGGCAGCATCAGCCCCTGGGTCCCTGTCAACTGAAATCCTTTATTCCGTCTATGGCTCCTGATGTGAAAGAGAGTGGAGCGGACCTCTGGAGTAATACAGCACCGTCAGTATTTTATGGCTAGATCAGTTAGGAGTTTTTCAAATTATCTTCAGATGATTTTTGTACTTGTTTCTGCTAAATTGCTGAGACTAGTTTGGTACTTATTTATGCATACATTTACATGTACATTAACATACACCGATTTATAATGCAATGAGGTGAATCAGGAAGTGGTTAATTGATTAATACTTTTTTACTATTTTAGACCTGTGTCTGTTTTATGTTTGGTCTAAAAACATTAAACAAATGGGATATGCCCTCAGTTATTTTTTTTTTATTGTTTTGGGAGTTACATTTTTATGCCACAACTTCTCTTCTCCTGTTGAGATTTTATTGATAGGCGGACAGTTGCCAAAATAAATGATTTGACCTCTCCAGGCGATGGCGATAATGCACCAATCGGCGCTTTAAAAGCCATGACGCCATCAACAAGCGACTGTGGCGTAGCAGCAGAAGAGAAATGGTTCCGGGTTTAGCGGCTCGTGAGTTTAATGTTATATATTATTGTTACATTTAAGCAGAGTCCTTTTGTCGCTTATGTTTCTGAGCATTTCTGAGATAATTTAATTACTTTATGCTCTTAAAGTCACCTGTTTCCACAGCGTTTGGTTATGATAGTTTAAAATGTATGGCAGTTGGCACGGGTGTGTTTGAAGCTATAGGAGACGAGAACACACTGTAAAGTACACACCGCCCGGCTCTGTGTAGCAGGCTTTTTGGACGTCATGACGCAGAGGAAGAGAGCCACACCCTCAGTGAGTCTTAACCTCATATTTTTAGTAACTTACTTAAAAAAGTGCACTCTGTGTGATTTACTAAACATGCTCCCTAAGCCTCTTCCGTTGTTATTAACACAAAAGATCTTGAGTTTATTGACTGTTGGCTCATGGTAAAACAAATTGACCAGACATTTGTAGTGCCAAGTTTTTCCAATTGTTATCTAGCCTCTTGGAGAAGCACAGGGAGGCATTGGTTTTACTTTGGGCAAAGGAAAACATCCAGTGTTTTCTGCACATTGATTGGTTGTTTGACCCAGTTGCCCCACTGTTTGAAATGCAGTCCCGCTTTTCTTAATCTGACCACTAGAGGCAGACTGTTGGACCTTGCTTTCCTGATATGCCTTAAATATCATTAAAATACTGTGAATAAGAGCTACTGAATGAGATCTTCATAGGCGTCCACATTTTTAGTGATCATTTCAGTAACTTTGATACTGCATTTTTGAACTTTAATTTTAGAGTACCCTAAGTAATTCTAAGCGCCAAAGGGTGTTTATAGAATTCTCTGAAAGCCAGGGGAGCCTCTTTCTTTTGACTTTGGACAGATAGTTGATGGTTTCCATTTTGACAATTTGATTTTAGTCACAGAGACAACATGGCGTATCGGCGCTTCAGGAGGATGAGGATGACATTCCCTTCACACAGCCAAGTACATCACAGGTGCAAAAGGCACTGGAAAATGTCACACCTGCACAACTTGACCACAAGGTAGCGCACACACATAATGATTAAAATTAGGTTTTGGTTGTTTTGAAAAGTTGTCATTATTAAAAAGAAACTTTTCTAAATGATTCTGGCATTTGGTTGGTCTTTCTTTTGTAGGCATCTGAGGTTGTGCAATATTTCCTGGTGAAGCAGCAGAAAAAGATTCCTGTGAGGAGAGCAGGTGAGAAAGCACTGGTTGACATGGTATCTTAAGCTCCTGCAGTTTGCAAAAAATATTGCCTATGTATTCAAGCAAACATCAACGTGGTGGAATTATTGGGTACATCATTCTGCTCATTCGTTAGCAGAGATTAAGTTTTTTTTTTAAAGCCTAATAAATTCTGCTCATTCGTTAGCAGAGATTAACAGTTTTTTTTTTTTAAAGCCTAATACATTTTAAATCTAAACGATCGTGTGATAACTGTAGACTAACCATATTTAATCATAATTGCAATTACAAATGGATTATAAGGCACAAATCACTATTGGTAGATATGACCTGGACAAATCTGTACACTGCTGGAACCCAAAAAAGAAAAAAAACAACAGGTAGATGAACCTGTTTTTCCTCTGTTTATTCATGACTAATCCAAGGATGTCAGAAAAATATGCAACTCCAAAGTGTTCTTAATTACTGCCCTGTGCTCAGTGAGGCTGTTCTGATGCAAACCTGGCGTGTATCAGGAAGTGTGTCCACAAGCGCATGTTGGTCATTACAATGGCATTTTAGACTTCTGTGAATCGGAGCGATGAGGTGGATGGACAATGGGGGATCTATTTAATAAACATCACATGTCATTCTGTTGATGCGTTCTAAATGTCAATTGGCGTAATTAATGAAATTATGACCTAATAATTTTCCTGTTTATTGAAAATCTGTGACATGTTGTGTTCTGTCTCAGACCTAGTAAAACACGTGGTGAAAGAGTACAGGAACATTTTCCCCGAGATCATGAAAAGTGCATCAAAGACCTTGGACCAGGTTTGTTTTTTGTTTTTTTAGGTTTATTTTATTTCAATTGCTGAAATATCCACCAGCGAGCAGTGAGCTGTTTCCTCTTACTGGTACAGGTTTTTGGCCTGAAGCTGGTTGAAATTGACAATAAAAATCACCTGTACATTCTCATCAGTAAGTTGGAGAACGTGGATGGACCACACACCAGGTAAGTTTCAAAGCAGACTTTGAGATCGAGATTTTTTTTTTGTTTGTTGGTTGTTGTTTTTTGGATAACATGTTATATTGCTGTATTTTATGTTATTAAAATTAATAATATATCTTTTATGTTTTTGTTTGTTTGTCACAGTGTCTCCAGTCCAAAAGTTGGTCTGTTGTTTGTTATCCTAAGTGTTATTTTCATGAAAGGAGGAGTGGTCAGAGAAAGTGAGTTTAAAAATAAAAAAAAAATACAAAAAACACCTACAAAATATCAGTCATTTCATTTTTATTTGTCCAATTTTTGTCTACAGACGTCATCTGGAACACTCTGAAGAAACTACGTGTTGATCCCGGGTCAGTTTAATTATTGTGTTGATTATAAGTTTCTAATGAGTTTATGATTACCACAGTTAAGTAGCCCTTAGTGGGATTTAAACCCTTTTCGTATCATCAGATTTTATGATTTTCTTTTTTATTGTATTGTATAACGTGCCCTCAATATATATGTATATATATTTTTGCTTATGTTCTAATTTACTGCAACTTTAAACTTACAGAGAGAAACATGCGGAGTTTGGAGACGTAAAGAGGCTGGTCACAGATGAGTTTGTTCGTCAGAGGTGAGAGTCGGCAGCTCGGTCAAAGAAATGTTTAAAACAGATTTTATATGAGGCTCAAAGTGTAAGTCCTGAACCTGCTTCATTTTATTAGAATGCTTAATTTTATTATACAGACTGAGGGTGCACTCATACTCGGTAAACGTAGCGCTCCCCATCATGTTTGCCCCCAAAAGTCCGCATTCTACGGTTAGTGTGAGTCCAAGTGTACGGTGCACTTGCCTGGCGCGGTACACTCGACCACGCATGCGCAAAACGAACTAAAGTACCCGACGCGGGAAGACTTGCCGTGACGTGTAAAGCAAGCGACCGTCCCTCCATTACAACAACAATAACAATAATGGCAGCGGCAAAGTGTTCGCTGTGGTCTGAGGAAGAGGTGAAATATTTAATGCCGACGGCATTCAGCAACAGCAGGACATGACTGGAGAAATGATGCAAGTATGTGGCAAAATTCGAGACTGTCGTCTCAGCCATGGATATAAGCGGCCCATTAAACAGTGTGGGGACAAATTAGAAAAAACCTCAGGATTCAGTACCTGAAAACGGCGATACGACGCTATCGACTAACAACTGGCCCGAGTGTGAGTGCACCCTTGCATGTGTACAGCGTCAGTCAGGCTGTAGCTCAGTGGTCTAATGCGTGGTGGCATTTGAAGTCAGAAGATCAGAGGATCAAGACCAGCTGTTGGGAATGTGTAGTACTGGTGTGATCAGAGCCGGTGTCTGTCAGACCATAGACTCGGGTTTATACCACACCAAAGATCAGCAGAAGTGAGAGCAATATCAGAACCTCAGCTTTGGAGCTCAGAAGCTGGATATGAAGTTCAAACTTCACACATTTTATTGTTACTGTGTGGGGTCAGTGTAGAATTAGGTAAAGCTGTACTTCTGTTTACCTGTGTGTTACATCTGTTTATTTGTGTGTGTGTATATGTGTGCGTTGTACCCTAGGTATTTGGAATGTGTTCGTATTCCTCACACAGAACCGGTTGAACACGAATTTCACTGGGGTCAAAGAGCTGAGCTGGAAGTGTCCAAAGTCAAACTCCTGGAGTTCTTAGGTCAAGTAAGGAAACATTTAATGTCAAGGCACTTTATGCACTACTGTGGTGAACATAAATAAATAAATAATAACTTGTGTGTTTGTGTGACTGTTTGTGATGTCAGCTTCATGATCAGGATCCTCAGTTGTGGAGCCAACAGTTCAAAGAAGCTCATTCTTCTGTGAACCCTCCCAGCAGCTGAACAGCAGAATCACCCAGAGAGATGAAGATGACGTTTTTATTTTCAGTTAAAACACAGACAGAATCCCCCCCTATCTTATTTTATTAGGCCAATTCAACATTGAAATATCAATCCATCCATCCATCCCTTGTCATCCACTTATCCTTTACCCGGTCGTCGGGGCAACAATCTCCATGACCTTCACCCAAATCACACTGCACCGTACCAACCTCCCTGAACCTTCCTGTGGGTGGTGAGTCCATTCGAAGATACCAACCACCCTAACCTAGATTCAAACTTGCCCAGGAGGTGAACCCACACCAAAGACAGAGACATTGCTTCTGAGCCAAAGTGCCACAACATTGAAATAGTTTTGATAAAATAATAAAATACTGTACACATTTTTACATTTTGTGGGAATTATAATCATTTTTTTAAATGTTAAATCCTGTATTTTTTACTCTTTTCTTCTAAAATGTGTCTGTTTTCCCATGCTGTGGTTAGGTTGTATTGTAGTCCGTCTACTTACTGTCTCTTTTACCTTCTTTTTCCTCCTTCCTCTTTTCTCTCACCCCGCTGCCTAACTCATTTTTCCTATCTTCTGCTCTCCCTTGGCCAAAGCAGACAGCTGCACACTTTAAGTCTGGATATTTATTCTCTCTAAGAGAGTTTTTTTTTTTCTCACCACAGTTGCAAAAGTTCAACTAAATCCAGTCCAGTTTCACTCTTAGACGCAAGTAAAAAATCCTATCTGATTAGATGTATATTTGTGACAGTTTTCATTGGTGGTGCACCGTGGGATGTTTTTTAACGTTAATTTGGTAATTCCGTTTTCGGACCATCATAAATACTTGTCAGCTGTTAGACAACAATTTTGCACATTGACAAAATAGTTGTAATTCTAAGAGAGTAATCTAATCTAATTTAAATCTAATTTAACCAGTTCTAGACAATGTAGTTTTGCCATGCAAAGTTTCTGTACTCAAATGTCTATATCCTATTAGTCCCATTTACTTCCTGGTCCCTCTTGTATCAGTAACTCAGTACCAGAGCTTTGGGGTCTGTGGTGGAAATGCATCAAATCTTTGTAGTGAAACCAATAAACTGGTGTTGGTCAGATGAAAGGGTTTTTATTGACATCTTTGGAATTATTGCACCCGTTTCTTGTATTGTATTTTATTTGTAAAATGATCAGTGTTAAAAACCTACAGCAGTACAAACAACACCTACACTCTCTGTACCCGTGCTTTGGAGAGGAAGATTGGAAAACTGATTTATTTTGTCAGTTAGGAGGCAGGAAAACATAGATCCAGCTCATGCTCGTTGCATAGAAAATAAGAAATGACACAGATTGACTAAAAGATTATTAAGAATCGATTGCGGCAGAACAGACTGGTCGACATTTGACGTCAACGTTTAGATTTTAGACAGATGACATTTAATGGAGGTTAGCGTTTCTTTTCCCCCCCTTTAATTACTTAAGTTATGGCTTTGTTTTGGTGTATTAAAGTGCATTCAATAGTATAACCGTCACTGTGGTACAGTTTGAGTCTTGACCTTCCTTGGTCTTGTCCAAGATATTGTTATTATTGTAGACTGATTCGGACTCGCGACTCACTTATTTATTAAACTAACTGAGCAACTGTCGACCTGGGAAAATCCATTTAGAGCCGTGTGGATACGGTTGTCAAATGTGGACCCTGCAATTTGACTCCAGCTTTCTGCATAGTCCGCTATTCTAAATGTGGATCGGTAATGAACCGGTTTGGACTACTGTAAGGTTATTTCGGTACAGTATGGATCCTGGAGGCTGACTGTGATTTCCAGCCTGGTCTTCTTTTCCTCTAGATGTGTTCAGGGACGGTCTCTAAAGCCTCTTCTGGGTCTCTGTCCACGTCCACATTCTGGGAAAGACGAAGGAAGAAGAGAGGGAAGACGTGCACCAAGTTACTGTCAAGTGTATGTAATGAAATATAACAGTTTAATTTCACTTACAATTTACTCAACGTGTAACCTGGCCCTGTTTAGTTAAACACAACACTGATATACTCGCAGAAATGAACGAAACACACAATGAGTGGTTGGGAATCACTGCTTCAAACTGATTGGTGGAAATTGGCAGAACGCTGTAGTGAGGTCGTGTCACCCGTTTGTATTTGTTGTTTTTCTTTAAACAACTTTGTTCGAAGTGTTGACCCACCTCAGGTCTGTCCCTGTGTGTGTTCACAGCTTCAATGTTGAGGAAAACTGACTCAACTTTACAACCTGAAAGGAGTTAGAAAAAAAGTTAGAAAACCATTACCAACTCAGGTAGGTGACTATTAGCCCAAAACAGCTATAAAATACAACACTGATGGTAAGTACTGACCGTACGCCACTGGAGTGAGTTTTAGAACTGTGTGCAGAGGACACTTGAGGTACGGTAGTTCGTCTGCTCCAAAAGGAAAACAGAAAGACAGCCTGTCCTGAGTAAATCTCTTCGATTTTATATCCTTGAACAATGCATGTATGAGAGGAGAACAAATACTACTTCGTGGAATGCAAGTACACAGGTTTTTTTCATATCCTAGTAGTATTTTTTCACACGTAATTTTGAAAATATAGACATGGATTTGTTTGTTGTCTATGGAGAGTTTTAAAAGTTGTGTGTTTTTGTTTTGTTTTGTTTTTTTACCAGCACTCTTGTCCAAGAAATATGCGAGCAAACATCTCATCACAGCTTGGTGACAGATGACTAGAATGTTCTCCTGCCTCTCCAGCTCCATGATGACCGGCTCCAGACGCTGGACCAGGTCCTCATATGACTGCAGACGCAGGTAAAAAAAAAAAAAATCAGCTTGGATTATTTGTTAAGTGGTGAAAAGTAAAAAGAGTCGTCCAAACGTACCTCTCCTTTGGGGTAACGGTACCGATACTTGTCCTGGTCCCTGAGAGCAAACTCTTCTGGGTAATTCTCCTGAATCTCCTCATACGTCATATCCTCACACACACCCTAAACAAGAAACGCGCAATGTCAATAAAATCCTCAGGAATTTAGCTAATGATAAATTTAAAGTGCTTGACAGGACAGGAGGTAATTTCCGGACTATAAGCCGCTACTTTTTTCATACACTTTAAACCCTGCGGCTTAAACAATGATGCAGCTAATTTCTGGAGTTTTACAGGCTAACGAAGAGTAGGTAGGCTACTCTGTGTTATACTAGTAGCGTATGTCTGTCTGTGAATGGCTGTGTGCGTATATGTGCGTGAGGCGCGCGCGAGAGAGAACGGTAGCTAAAGTTCAGAGCAGTTTCAGTCCTGTCATGTTGAAGTGTGAGTTGGTTATACAGGAGCTGTTAAAACACTGTTTATGTTCTGTTGTGGTCGGTGGGGCTGATAATAAAGACCCCAACTTCACTGTTTCTGTTTACCTCTGCTGCGGATAAGCACAAAGTGAAGGGAGTTAGCCCTCGAGCAGATCACTAAGTCACTGTGCATTCCAACTATGGTCGGGGTGCCGAAGCAGAGAGCTAATATGTAGCTAGCCGTGTTACAGGCACTGATCGGAAAAAAGCATTTATTTAATTTAAAAGTGAAAAAAAATCTTTCTGTGTAAATATCCCATGTTGCAACGTCAACACTTGCGGCTTATAGAGAAGTGCGGCCTATATAAGTACAATAATTTCTTTTTCTTCCTAAATTTAGTGTATGCGGCTTATATTCATGTGCGCTCAATAGTCCGGAAATTACGGTAGTTTTGTTTTTGGAGGCTAATCTCACAGCGTCGATCTCGTTCAGAGCCTTCCACTGTTCATACTGGACTCCCAGAGCTTCAGCAGTTTGGATGGTCCTCTTCATGTGGCTCGTCCAAACCTTCAAGTCTGTTATGCACTGTCCTCGCATGTAGCTTCCCAGACCGTTGGCAAACTGTTACACGCCAGACCACAACACAAACCATGACAGACCATAACAGACCACAGAGTGACAACGATACATGGACCAAGTACCACAGCGACCCAAACCTTGGCTCCTCGTTTGGACAGCCCCGAGTCTCCTCCAATGCGCCCTACCAAGTTCAGTTCACTCTCTCCATGTCGGCACAGGTAAATGGATCTTGGCGTGACGTGGATGTTCATGAGGTAGTAGACGATCCTGCTTTGAATGTGATCTTGGACCCGGTTCACCAGGTATCGACTGCCCACGTTGAAGATCTTTATGTAGGACAACTTCCTGCAGAACAAGGAGAGCAGGTATGTTTTTAAAGACGTTATCTGTGATGCGTTCATGATCTTGAAATAGTTTGAAACAGGTTAAGCAAAAAAAATAAATAAAAATTGTGAGCAGTCATCTAGTCTGTCAACAACGACTGTTTCAAACTCCCAATGTGAAATGTCTTGATGGCAAAAAAATAAATAAAAAATGTCTACTATATTGATCCCATATTTGGGAAATGGTTGTGTTAGCAGCAGATATCCTGTTAATTGGCTGCCCCTAGCAAGTGCCAAGCATGGGGTTCCTCAGGGAACCAAACTCAGGGCTCTGTGCGTCCGAGATGTAATATTAGGTTCACCTGGGTATTTCAACCTTAAAGGCTGCTCCCTACGGCTACATGACATTGTATTATTTTGCGGCTGATAGGCTCCTGTATGCGTGGGCAGATGGGTCACCTGTCTTTATCATCATCAAGTGGTACGTAGGTCAGTTTGTAACAATCTATCCTCTTCAGAAAGTCAGCCACAGCCTCGTCTTTGTCGCAGTCCACGTAATCTGGGCTGCTCAGCTTCACTTGCTGCGGATGTGAAACCAACGAACAGAGAAGAGAGGGAACAGCCATGAGTCAAATCTACGTTTTAATCATGTCTCATCACCATGTTGTCAAATTAATGTCGTTGTTGACATTAAACCAACTGACTTTGATATTCTCAGCAATGATTTCTGGATCTTCACAGACTGATTCCACAAAGAAAACCTGAACAGAAACAAACATTTAGTTTTCTTTCTTTCTTTTTTTCCTTGTATTTTTCTGAAGCAGCAGACAGAAATTAAAAAAAAAAAAAGACCTTATAACCGTTTTCTTTGGCAAAGTTGAGAATGACCTCTCTGCGTTCCCGGGTTGTGTTAGTCGCATCGAAAACCTTGAACCAGAGGGGGAAAAAAATGACATTGAACTCCTTTCATTACCACTAAAGAAACAATGTACGATGTATCATGACAAGGAAGTAGTCAGTGATGACTCACCGCCACCTGACCCTGCAGCCTGGTGAAGTAATCGCACACGTCCTGAAGAGCAGCAAGAGCGCATGCTCTGTATGAGGAAACAAGAACAAAAAGTGCTATCACAAACAGATTCACGCGTCGTGACACTGTTTACGCCCCCAGATTAGCATCCAAAAAAAGTATGCTGTCCATACTAAGCATTTTGTCACAGCCTAATAATTTAGCTACTATATAATAATAATAATAAATAAATTATTAAGCTAACCCATGACATGTAATAAACAGTGATAAAATACGCTTGTTGATACGTAGGGTGAAAGTTACGTTAAGTTCATACTTGCGTATTTTCATAGCTTCTTCGTTGTCGGGTCTGAAGAACTCGAAGCTGTTGTAGGAGCGCGTGGCGTCTCGGCGGTACTGACCCACGTTAAACACTGTTACAGACACAGGGGTGCGGGGACACAAAGGTGTTGATGCGTCTTTGTTCGACGGTAAAGATGTTTGGTTTTTTTAGATGGTAAAGTTCATATGTCGTATTAGTGGTTTATCGGATGTTAAGTTTGTTTGTTGGTTATTAAATTTTTGAATTCCCTACTTTGTGCCACAATGGGGAAATTCACAGTGTGAGACTTCGCAACTCACACAGGCTGCCACAGGAGGCGCCAGAAACCTCCTGCATGTAATGCAGATGTGATAACTGCTTCACTAACTATGAAACCACAATGGTAGTAATGGTGTGTTTGTCTGATGGTAAAGTTACTCGTTGGTCATTGGTTGTTGGATAGTTGGATGGTTGGCTGAAGGTTGCGTTGGTTTACTAAAAAGTCCAAACACTTGGAGGTTTCCCTTTTGTGTGGTTTATTCTAGCTTGGTTAGCTAGGATGGTATTTAAAGCTAATGGATGTTAGCCATTAGCTTTGGTTGGCTGGTTGATGGTATTATACCTTGATTTCCCATTGTTTATGTTTTTTATCTAGTAGCTTGCGTACTTATAGTGAGTTGGCTGGAACGACAGTAATTAGTGTTAGTTGCTACAGTAGTGTGCGCGCTGCCATTTTCAAATACCTTTGGTTGTGACTCCTATCCAGTTCAAGTACCTGGTGAGTTTTTTTGAAATGTAGGTCTTTCCCCGTGCCGGAAGTCCCACCATCACGATCATGGTTGGGGAGTTGGTGAACTGGGGCACCGACGCTGTGACACAAATACACAAACACGCTGGTCAGTTTCTTGAACACCCCACGACCCAAATGTGCTTGAATCATTCAGGTCAATAATAAAAATAATCACCAATGACGGTTCAGAAAACAACAACGTAGAGAAAATCTGTGATTTTATAATAACGGTAAATCCATTACTGAACCGACGACAGGGGGCAGCAGCAGTGCAGCAGCTCCCGTGTCCGTGTGAGCTCAAATCTCCGCTATTTTTCAAAGAGGTAAAATAAGTGTGTAGTTGGTAGTTGTAACAGAGTGAATGCCTTACAATTTTTTTAAAGTTTAAACATTGTAGTACCTTATTGAACCAAACCAAATTAAGCTTGAACTGTTTTTGTTTTTTTAGCTTTTTAACTGTATTAATATTTTTAAAAAAGTCTTCGTCGGCTGCAGCTGGAGACTGAGGACACGTGGAGGAAGCGTGATGGACACGCTGTACCTTTGAGGTGAATGTCCTCGTAGCCACAATCTCTCAGTCTCGCACACACAGAAACACATGTACGCGCAGTCTGATTTTCATGACTCGTGAGGACTTCACACAGACACGGCGCATTCCATTAGCCCCTTGGTCTTTACCTTAACCAAAACGCAGCAGTAATTTTAACCCCAGTTCCAAACTAAATCTCACCAAAATACTGTCTTTCCTAATGGAGAAATGTCCCCTCAAGGACAGCTATACCGAGATCACACACACATAGTAATATGCAGCTCATCTTATTCTGAAGACCAATTCAGTCCTGCTTGACAATCATCTGCAACACTGAGGTGAAATAACAGGATGCCTGCCCGTGTGTACACTCACAGCCTCGGCGTTTGCTTAGTCGACTTCGTAGTGATGGAATCCAGATTTTCTCTAGAGGATTCTGGGTCAGTGTCTCTGACGAAGTCATGATCCCAACAGTTAGCCTTAGTATGTGTGACAGTGTCTGTGAGATGCCAAAGGTTGGCACCGATTTTTAAATCTTTCTGACCCAACATCACCCATAGGGCAGAGCCTGACCCGGCTGGATGGAGTGTCTAGTTGGTCGTTTCACCTGTCACTCATGTTTACCTCCTGTTTGCCTGGCGGTGAGACCGAAAAAGAGCTCCAATCACAAAGAGTGGCTCTGAACTTTGGACCCAGCAAAAATGAGGCGATGTCTCATGATGTGGTGGACTGGTTTTAGTAACATCTTCAGGGCAGATTTTTCCAGGACTCGTGAGTCTCCTGGAGACCAAAGCCTGGTCGTGATGAGAGAGAACCTCATTTCTGAAGCTTTTGTTTTGAATTAACAGGTTGTGGGTTTTTTTTTTCCAGTTTGAGTGATTGTTTGGTCCACTAACTGCAAGGTAAGGGCAAGGGCAAACTAAGGCCTGGGGGCCAGATGTGGCCCGTTCAGCTTTTTAATCAGGGTCGCCAAACTTTTCCAAATTATATATATTTTTTATATTATATCATTTTACTTCTGCCTTTTCCCTGCAATACCCGTTTCTCCAATAGATGGCGTAGAAAATGATAAAAGCATTTTAGCATTTATACATGACTTTTACATGTTATTTATCGTAGTTCACACGAAAGCTCCAGTTATCTGCTCCTGACCTGTCCCCCTGTTCAATTTTAGGACAATTGTGGCCCGCGAGTCAACACATTTGCCCACGTTTTGTCCACGTCGATGACCCTCCCACAGAAAAATGTAAAGGCAGAATCGCAAAACAATGAAAGGCTTGTTTGTCAAATGTCATCCAAATTGTGTCTTTAAGATTCGTAAGTATTTCGTCCCGCAAACAAACTTCTGGTTTCTTCTTCATGTCAACGTTTTCATTGATCTTCAACTCTCTTTCTGATTTTTTCATGACTTTCTGCTGTCTCTAAGCCTGTCTTCATTCTGTCACATACTGTGTTGTCTCTCTCATTAGCCCTTCTGTCTCTGATCCTGGTTTTATCCTGTTATTTCCCCATGTCCATCCTGTCAGTCTCTGCTTATTGCCCTGTGATTGTCCTTATTTGTCCATGCCTATTTTAATGTCTTCTGTCCAGCTTGTCATTCTATGTATCCTTCTGGCAATGACACACAGGAAGTTGCTATTTATCTAATTCGTCTCTCTCAAAAGTCTCCGCGCTTAGAACACCCGTGCGTCTGCTCGTGCACGTCTAATCAACTCTGTATTAATCTCACCTGTGCTCTCGCAGCGCACGCGCCTTCTCGGTGGACGCACGTTCCCCTTCACCTCCATTTGTTTCCCGAAGAGCCACGTGTGTGCGCGAGTGCCTCTTGGCTTCTGCCCCCCCGAATATGACCAATGGCAGGTCTCTGACGTCAGTACAGACGATGACGAAGCAGTAAACATGGGTGTGCACGCGCTTCCGCGAGCCCAAGCGAGTTACATAAATGCGCCTGAGTGTGAAACAGCTGCAGCCGCTTCTCTCCACCTCCACTCTGGTTTAGTATTTCACACACACACGTACCCCAACATTTACTTGGAAGAACTAAGCATTAACGTTTTATTCCTTTTGTCAGGATACGCAAAGCACGTAGAGAAACTCTCGGACGTTAGCACTAAGCATTACAGGAAATGTTGTCTTCTGACGGTTGTGTCACTGAGGTAAACTTAAACTAAGTTATTATTTTAAACGTTAAAGTTAAAAAAAAAACATTTAAACAGGATGATAGGGGCCGCAAGTTCTTAAACTTGAACTTAAACTTAAGTTTCATGTCGAGCTAATGCTAAGTAACATGATTACGCAGTCAAGGGTTTCTTAACAAATGAGTATGGGGGTTCTCGATCCATCTCGCTATAAATTAAACTTAAATAAAGTTTTATTACACAGCAATGAACAATATTTGTAATTTTGAATAGATAATAAGAAAGTGCAGAAACATTTATTAATACTGTGTTGTATAGATGGTTTACCGATAATCGTTATTACCCATGATGCATCGCGCCGTCGGCCATGTTGTCTGGCAAAACGCGAATAGGTAGATGTAAACAATTGAAAATGACAACAAAAGAGACAACAATCAGACGAAATTGTTGTATAGAGATTAACTGGACACAGTTACAAAGGCAAGATACTTTAAAATAACGACCCATACGAAGTCAACAAAGCTGAGTGGAAGCGGGCGGACATTGAAAGTTGGCCAGACAATGTATATCAAACGGTATTTATTAACACCCAGAAAATACAGCGTGTTAATGTAAAAATCAGTTTACATGACAAATTATGTTTTACTATTGATTAGGTTATACTTTTTTTCAAAATCCCAATAAATCTGTATTTTTTTACTTTATTCATTAAAATAAAAATAATTTGTCTAACACCACACAAGATGGCGTACTACGGAACTATGGGTAGTAGCGTGACGTCATCGGAAAACTATCTATTAAAATGAGTTTGACACACCTGCCCTAGGTATGACATTAGACGGAACACATAGGTACTAATGTACAGCATGCGAGTTCCGACTTACGCCAAAAACCGAGTTACATCTTACCATAGGAATCGAACTGCGTTGAAATCAAGGACTCCCTGTTAGTATAAGAGTTGTCTAATGTAAGGGCTCCATAGAGCAATTTGCCCATAATTTACCCATAACCCTGCTCTCTTCTAAAGTCCGTAACCCTAATTGGTCCTCGCAGACAGACAGATAGACAGACAGACAAGGATGCGTACCTCAGGTATGTTTCGTTGTTTATTAGTTGACAGTCAGGGTTAGTTTGTCAGATACAGAAACATTGCACAACAAGCAGGTACAACGTTAGCACACCTCAGTATCGCGGTAAACCACACACCCTTCGCTAGCCCGCCAACCGCCGCTGTCATTTCACTGCTCATTCCTGATACTTCTTTACGTCCGTCTTCATTGTCGGTGATGTCATAACGGTGATGACATCAATAGCCACATCACTATAACTGATAAAAGCTATTGTTTGGTACACATTGCAGTTATTGTTTTTGTTGTTAGAAATTATTTTATTTTTATGTTGATTTATTTGATTTGTATAAACGAAGGCTGCAACAAGAACAGGCAGATGCACAAGCTCGAAGAATCAAAACTAAAAATGGACGACATCGTCTTCTCTTTACTGTCCCCTACTGTCTTACCAGTGCTGTTGTTTCATTCTTATGATGTCTTTTATGTTGAAGTTTATGCCAATCATTCCCAAATGTCTTTATCTAGACAAGAACATTAAACTTTGAATTAAAATAGTTTCTTAACTCGTTGCAGTTTTACAAGTTTGACTAAAATTTAAAATAAAATCCCGGTCCAAAAGGTTTTGTGACCACATGTCTGAACCATGATATCTCCCAACAGAAGTTTATGTCACATCTGCTTACACGAAGAGGGACAGGCTACTTAGCAACCAGCCACCACGGGGGCGATTTAAGTGTTTTAGCCTAATTTTTTTAGCACTATTTTAGGATGTCGTCCATTTTTATTTACAGCCACAAAACAGCATCAATGTCAGAGCAGAGATGTTAACAAGGCAACAATTCCTGATGTGGGTTAGTCATAAGTGGTTAGTAGATGATTTAATTTGCCTTTAGTGCCTTTAGTCTTGAGTTGCGTTCACAGCGAACGTGAAACAAATATACGCGCTATGCTAAGTCGGTGCAAAGTTTAGAGCACATTTCTGTGTAATAAATTGGTCGTCTGCAATTCCGAGTGAGCATACGTAAAAAAAAAATCCTTTATTGATTTTACAGAAAGGGGCTTAATAAAAATTCATTCGTGACATGGTTTCTTTCAAGTGAAAAATACAAGAACATGCCGATTTGTGTAAACATTTAGCAATGAGAAGCTTGATGCAGTTGGAAGGAGAAGGCAGGTTTTAATGTCAGAGGGAAAAGCTGTATAAAGGGATCTGATGTCCGGGGAGGTTCTGATGTCATTGTAGGATGCTGATATTGATACCAACAGCGGCAGGCGGGGCCTCATTTCTGAGCCAGAGGGTGTGGTCTGACTTTGGGAGCTAATGTTAGCGGCTAATTTGCTCAGTCGGGAGCTGTGTTTCCTCGTAGTATACAAAAGTCCACTGGAATGTGTCATTTAAAAATAGCATCAGGTTTGTTGTGAACACGCTCAGACTAAAGTTCTATAACAAAACAACCCACAGTTGTTCCAAGGAAAACAAATTGCAGCAGTGTGGGTGCAGCAGGAGGCACTGTGGCGTACACATGTGGTCATTAATGACGTAGCCTTCTGCTGCTTCACTAAGAGCTAGAAGAGAACTAGGACGAAGGGCAGCGGGTGTTGATTTTTCTTTCTACAGTTCTAATTTGGGTTCTAACTGACACAACGAGAAATAAAAGAAAAAATGGTTTGGCGAGGTTATGATACAAAAGCTACAGCGCTTTTACAGCAGTGCTGTCATATAAAAAATCAGAGCAAACGTACATTTGATCATCTTAAAAAAAACAAGCAAAAAAAAGAAAAAAAAGACAATCTTTAGATTTTATTTACATTCAGAGAAGAAAGCTCGTTACATTCTCTGCCTCCTTCTCTCCATCAGAGGGTCCTATTGGGTTTTTGCTACAGAGGACCCACCCCCTGGTTTCCATAGGCCTCACGTTATGTGTGTGTATGCATGTGTTTAATGTGTGTAAACAGAGGAAATGTGAGTAAAATTCTTCTCTTCACTGTTGTGTGTGTCTGTCTGTCTGCATATCTCTGTGTGTATGTGTGTGTGTTTTAGTCTAGCTTGGCCGATTCAGGACACTTGACATGGACGGGGCGATGGGAGGCGGTGGAACCGCTGTGACAGGGGAGGCAGGACCTGAACTCTCGTGGCCATGTGGAACTGGACCGCGCCCACTGTACTGGCCGATGAAGGATCCATCCTCATTGAACTGGATATCCACACTGTCACCGTATTCAGCCAGGGAGTCATCACTACCCAGTTTACTTTCACCACAAAGAGACGGCTGGCTGTCAGAGTGTTTCTCATCTCCATCGCTGTGAAAACAAACAAAATGTAAGTGTTAGCACCCTCTTGTGGTAGAATCATCCTGACAAGGATTCAGTAAATGAATCTGTTCAACAGACAACAACTCTTGTGGTAGAATCATCCTGACAAGGGTTCAGTAAATGAATCTGTTCAATGTAATCTTTTTAAACACGTGAAGCTCACAGTACACACTACTCACTCTCTCACATCAAAGTCCATAAAGACCATCACTTATAATTATTATATGGACCAACTGCTTAATTATGTAATAATGGGTTTCCCCTAGATCAGGGGTGTCAAACTAATTTTCACTGGGGGCCACATCAACAGTGCAGTTCCCCTTTGAAGGGCTGGTAGTAACTGGAAGACTGTATAGATCAGGGGGTCCCCAATCCTCGGTCCCCAATCCTCGGTCCACGGACCAGTACCAGTCCAAGGGTAATTTGGTACCGGGCCGCAGTGGGACACAGTGAAAAAAATGTACCAAATTTTTATTAATTTACTTCATTTAAAGAAAATCCAGTCATATCCATTTACTTCCTTTATTTAAAGAAAATCTGGCAATGTTTTAAAATAACATTATTTATTCAAGCTACAAATATTGTTTATTGCTGTGTAATAAAAAAACTAAATTAATTTCTTAAGTTAAGAAACTCTGCTGCATGGACTTTATTAAATGCTTTTTAAGGTGCCATGAGCCACACGACACGACTTGGCGGGCCGCATTTGGCCCCCAGGCCTTGAGTTTGACACGTATGCCCTAGATGATGTCACATAAAAAATAGTTTTAAGATGAAAGTGAAACTATTATTTGTATTCTGCACAGTATTGTCATTGCGACAAAGCGGACCACTGCACACAATTAAATTCGTCCTCTGCCTTTAACCTAAGCGGCGGCAAATATCTGTATTGGTTGATATCGGAAATTGGAAATTAAGTGTTTGGACAATATCGGCAGATCGGACATTGGCAAAAAGTTAATATCGGACATACCTACTTACAGTATAATGCTCAGAGAATACAAAATCTTTGTCCTGCTTTCGTGTCTTTAGAACAGTGGCTCACTGCCCCCCCCTTGTGGACAGAAATGTTTTTACGCGCCCCCTCAAACTCCGACCCAAACCCCCACGAATTGAAATACTATTGAGAACCTATTTTTATCTGTACAAACCACTGTATGAGTTGCTGCCACCTAGTGACTGGAGGCTTGTTATCATTAAAACATTACAGCAGTGGTACACTTATGTCCAGCGTGAAATATTCCATTGGAAGCCCCTCAAACCCGTCCAGCACCTCACTGTGCCCTCCCGGGGGTCCCGCACCACTATTTGAGAAGTACTGCTTTAGAATAAGACAACAACAATCTAAAAAAAATTCAAAAAGAATAAGACAACAACAATCTAAAAAAAAATTTTTTTAAAAAATCACAGAAAACATACAGGACAGAGTTGAAGGAGAGCGGTTTGACATTCTCACCTTTCTAGTGATCTGCAGGTTGAGCATTAAAGGAGGAAAAGAAATTTGAGGTGAAAAGGAAAAAAAAAGAAGGCTGACATGCACTTCAGTGATACAGCAATATTAGGAATGAAAGTATTTTTCATGAGAGTTATAGGCAAAGTGTGCATGAGAAAAAAGAAACCATAGAATCCTGTGATTGTATCCATCCAGCTCGTTTTTAAGTTAATTAAGTTGTTAGTTTTTTCCGTGATAGTATGTGAGAGAAAACACACCTGTACTCTCCGAAGGTCTCATCTTTCATTGGTCGAGCTTCAGAGTCCACTTCTTTGTCTTCTTTGTCTTTCACTGTCGAGAAAAAAAAGGCGGTTTTAAAACTCTGAACTTTAGGTGTGTGTGTGTGTATGTGGGCGTACAGTACGCGTGTATTACCTGCATACTTGCCGCCCCTGCTGCGTTTGATCAGACAGAGGATCAGCAGTATCAGAAGCAGCAGCAAAATGGCACTGATGAGTCCAATCAACCAGCCTCGAGTGGCAAATCCATCCGTTATTTCAGATGGAACTGAGGGCAACAAATAAAAGAATTATTTGTTGTGCCTATTATGTCCAACGATAGTCTTGTTTGTTTTGACTTATGTAACTGCTGTTAAAAATAATTTTAGTAATATCGTACTTATTTCGGTTACTTTCAATAATTTTAGTAATATCGTACTTATTTTGGTTACTTTCACTCGACAACCTACTCAAACTTTTTTGATCTATTGGCTATTCCTTACTGTAAAAGTTATATATATATATATATATATACGGTATATATATATATATATTATAGTTAGAATGTATAGAAAATGTCCCAGAAATGGTTACGTTTTCCTGTCTTTCTTCATCACATCTGATGTGATGTGAATTTTACCCCTCTCAATTATTGTGTACACTGAAGTTTTTATCAGCGACAGCTCTGTCCTCGGGGTCAGGCAGCTCTCGGTTTGGAAGTCCTTAACCTCCATTTTTTGTTCAGCTCCAGCCATCACCCAATGACAGGCTAGAACTGTCTCTTAGTCAGTGTTCTCTGGCTACATTAACATAGCGGGAAATACACACCCCACGCAATTTTTTTTTAACGCAGATTATTTTTCCTGGTTTTCTCAGTAACTGGTTCTTTTCAAATGTAGCGAAGTCAAACACTCGAGTCAAATCTTTTCCCGAAACTACTTAAAAATTACTCACAAAAACTACTCACTTAAGTAAATGTAATTTGTTACTTTTTTTCGTACCAGTTACATTTAAAACAACAATATGTTAAAAAAAAAGAGTGTTTAGAAGATCAAACCTGGTCCATCAGTCTGGGCCACCTCCTCCCACTGAGTGTCGTTCCCGTTTAGGATCCTCAAGTGATACTCAGTACCTGGCTGGAGGCCAGTCAGTGAAAAGTAACCCTGAGTGGAGTTGAGCTGCTCTGTCTCCTTCCATTCTCCTCCCGCTAAAACACAAGCAGGTACAGTTACATAGAGTTAGTACAGTGTTCCTTTTTCACAGCTGTGATTTTTTTTTTTTGCAGATGGTTTGAATACCCACCACTCTTCCTAAGGAACTGGATGTGGAAGCCAAGGTTCCGGTGCCGATCTCCTGGAACCCAGCTCAGGTTAAGGAACGTGCTTCCCTGGATGACGGTGATGTTGGTTGGAGGAACTAAAAGAAGAGGTAACGAGTAAATGAGCGAATTAAATTTGTCTATATAAATTACACTCTTACACTCTACAGCGACTGTTGATTGAGATTTGCTTTTCAGATGTGTCCAGTGAGATGTCTTGTTTGGTCAATGACTGTACTTACCTCCGTCAAGCAGCGTAGCACTTCTGCCTTGGATGGGAGGTCCATCTCCAGAGGCCGTCCGTGCAATAACACTGATGCTGTAATGAATCCCAGGTTCGAGTGGACCCAGGGGGTGGTGCGTGACATTGGGGTCACTGATAAACTCCATCTTCAGACTTTCATTGCTCTTCCCCTCTGAACACAGACACAACACACGTGAAGGAAGTAAGAACAACGGAGTGGACAAGCATCCGGGAAATTGTCAAGTCTCACTCACCTTGCTGGTACTGAATCATGTAACCCAGCAGGATCCCATTAGTCTCCAGTGGGGGGCTCCAGAACACATCTAAGGATTTTTCTGTCTTACTGTCAAAGGTCAGTGAAGCAGGTGGACCTGGGGCTGCACACGCATACACAAGGATTCTATGTGAAATCATGAATGTGAGAAATTCCTAATATTTTACAACAATTGTCTCCTGGTTTTATCCAGCAGAGGGAGCTCTGCCTTGTAATACCTTATTGGTCTATAAATCAAACATAGAGATTTTGCGAACATGATATGATTATGGAAATAGAGTATGTGATTGCAGTTTACTAACTGTTCAGTAGATTGCAGTGTTGGAAAATATAAAGTATTGTTAAATTTCAGAATTTCGTGCATTACGCGCTACCTACCTCCCTCCGGTGTACTGAAGTGATGGGGTTGTGAGTGTGGCCCCTCCCCTTTGCTGTTGAAGGCAGTGACAGACAGCTCATAGCGGGAGAAAAGCCGCAGCTCCGACACTTCCTCTGATGTCTTGTGGCCATGGACCACCACCACTCTTCTCTCTTCTATGGTTTCCAACCCGCGCCCTGCCCTCTCTGCTCGTTCCTTACTGTGGTGCGATTTTCCCAGTGACCTGCGACCTCTTGGTGTCTGAGGGCCCAACCTCTTTAGGTAGATCTAATGACATCATCAAGAAAAAAAAATCTGAGTTCATCTGCAGTTTCTAACAGAGACAAAACTGCTGTATATCTCTTACAGTTCAACTAATTATTATCCTTCTGTAAGATGTTTTTTTTTTAAGAAACTTAATTAAAAATGTAATATGTTTTTGTTTTTTTTTACTTTCGGTCAACAGATGGTACCTTGTATCCCAGCAGTTTCCCTCGGACATTCTGAGCTTCGTTCCACTTTACCCTGACTGTGCTGTTCATCACTGTGGTGTGCACTCCTTCTGGTGCCTCTTCAGGTTCTGAGAGGGAGTGCAAGAAGTTAATGGTGACAATGTCATTTAAACTGACACAGAGGTATTTTAAGACGACAGACGTGAAAGCCGAGGGTAAGTATTTAAATCCATATCTCAGTTATTACCAAAAATGTTCACAATTATTTAGATACCTGATTGTACTTCTCAAATGAGCAAACAACAACAAAAAAAAGCTACGTACTGTCCTCTCCTGAGTGTCCAATATCTACTATTGGATCTGGACCTTCTCCCAGTGAGTTGACAGCCTGCACTTTGATCTCAAAGGGTGTGTATGTTCCTGTGTCGTTCACGAGAAACGGGGGGCCTGTGACGTATCTGGTTTCCCAGCGACTGTCCTGCCCCCCGGCCTGACGCCATGACACCTTGTACTGGAAATCCTGGCCGTTGTGAAAGTGTTTGTCCATCTCCTGTGAAGTTAGTGTAGAAGTGAAGAAGTGTTTCAGGATATTGGTTGGGTTTTAATTTTTTGTGATTTCCAGTTAATGGTCAGATGCTCACATCCCAGGTGATGATTAATGCCTTTGGTTCCTTCGAGTCACTACGAACACCAGTGGGGTTCATGTCTGGGACTGTTATAAAGAGAAATATAGACACATTCACTTAATTCTCCAATGCTACAATACCAAAAACTGTGACTATAGAGTAAACATATACATTGATAAAATAAGCCAATCAATAACTGAGAATTATACAATAAATAAAACAAAAACATTTACGAAAAAGCTGAATATAATTTAATAGGTAGATTTCATGCCCAGTAAACTATTATTATTATTAATATGAACGAATAGCTAAACAATAACTCATATTTTTGTTAAAGGGTGGGATGTAATATCGGCGCTCACCAGCAGGAGGTGTGGCGTGGAAGTCTGATTCCCTGCTAGGCTTGCTACGGCCGATCTCGTTGACGGCGACGATGCGGAATCGATACGTGCAGAAGGGGCGGAGCTTGAGTTTCGAGTGATTGACGTCACCGGGAACCCGCTTCCACTCCTCCCACCTCCACTTACCCTCCTCGGTGTGCTGCTCCTCCCGGGCCTCCACGATGAACTCTGAAAGACGTCGTCAACAAGGTTAGCATCGTTGTCATCTTTGCTAGCCATTAGCTATCGAATGGACTAGAAGAAGTAGTTACGGCACATAGAGTAAATTGGTGATTTTGTTTTGTGCACCTAGGATCGGGCTGTTGTGGGACTGTCCTGGAATCCAGCTGAGTGTGAGACTGTCGTCTTCCAGGTCATACAGAGACAGGTCCTTAGGGGGGTCTGGTGGAGCTGAGGTGTCGGACAGAAGACCGTGTTGAATGTAAACGATCTCTCCACACACACACACATGCACACATGCAAAGAGACACAGTGTACATACCCACAACAGTGATAAAGCCACTGGCTTGAGCGTTGTCCAGGTCAGTGATGACCTCACAGGAATAAACTCCTGTGTCCTCTGATTGGACGTTTTCCACTTTCAAAGTTCCATTGGGGAAAACATTGTATCTGCGCAAACAAACACACACACACAATAGGATTAAGAAGAGTATTTACAAATTAAAAATTCTTTTCAAGTTCTTGAATGAATGTTACAGTAGGAGACAATAATCGCAGAGAGTCCTGGGTTTGAGTCCCAGAGAAACCGCATGCTCGATTGTTAATCCTCCTTATGTAAGTCGCTTTGGAAAAATAGCGTCTGCTAAATGCATAGACCTACATGTAAATTGTCCATGACAATGCGTTGAAGTTAAAGTATCCGATTCTGGTGAACTGAGAGTAACGTAAACGTTGGATTCGAACCCGCGTCTCTATCTGTCCTTATTACGCACTACGCCCTCCCTTTCACGTCTCTGTCCTCATCTGCATGCGTGTCACTAATACTAGTGACAGTAACAGCTTTCACTCGCCACAGATACTCTACGAACATATCCAAATACAGACGTGATAAAATCTGTGTTCAAAGAAAATGTTAGGCAAAAGATTATCCAAAAAAGCGGAGGAATTTCTATTTATTAGAACCTGATAACCACTAGGTGTCCCCGATACTCACTTCAGTGCGTGTCCATGCATGTGCCCGGTCTTTGTCTGAAGTGACAGCAGCTTGAATCCGTTCATTTTCCAAACCACCTGGTGCTGCAGCCGAGGGTCTTTGTAGAAGTGACAGTCCAGCAGGGCGCTGCTCTCTCTGGGACAACGTACTTCTTGAGGTGGAGTCAGTATGAGCGTTCGATCTGAAACAGGGAGTCGTTAAGATTACGTCACGTTCCCGTGTGTTGTTTTGTGTCTTTGGTGTTCGGAATATTCGCAACTAGCGGTGTCGCACACCGTCGGCAGCAGTAGACAGGCAGGGATTCTCAAGATGTTGTGGCCAAAAGTTTAGAATTTACAGGCTAATCTACAGACAACTCTTTCTGGAAACCTGAAGCAACTATTAACCAGGGACTAAATGTGAGTAGAAACTGGTTTCGTAGTCAGTTTGGCTCCAGTTGGCCTTCAGACTCACTGAAAACTTCCAAGTGAGCAGTGATGGACATATTGGTGTGTTTAATGGAGCAGGTGTACGTCCCGCTGTCCTCATGATTGACATTTAACAGCTCGATGGTACCGTTGGTCAGCAGAGAAACCCGAAGGTCTGACAGAAGAGGAAAGGAGCCATCTCCCACCTCCCTGGAAAAACACACACACACACACACATTAGGGTCTATCAACTGCTGTACATGGTATGCGCAAAAAAAAAAGATCTCCTCTCGCTTTCCCACCATGCAACATGAGGTCGTGGAGATCCAAAGGATTCACAGTGCATCTTTACGTCTTTGCCTTCTGCAACTTTGTAGACGACTGCGTCAGAGGACAGGATCTGAGGAGGAAGCTCTGAAGGTGGACAGGAGACAGTGGACCACAGTGAGACTAAAGACCCGGGTTTAGTCGTGTGGACGTAGAATGGCTTCATAATGCATGGCGGACAGACTTGGCGGGACACGTGTGGACACGTGTCTGACTCACCGATGACGTAGAGGAACGTGTTCCTGAGCGCCGTTCCATGTTTGTTCGTGGCTTCACACTGATAAACGGCCGTGTCCGCAAACACGACGTCCCGCAGTTTGAGAACGCCTCCAGAGACGGAGCGACGGGCGTCTTCGTCAACATCTGAAGACAGATGAGTAAGGGCAGAAGATTAAAAGGAGGAAAAGCAGGAGAGAAAGACAAAATAAAGAGGATAATGCCCCAGAGAAGAAACAACTTTTCTTCTCATGGTCCTTCCTCCCATCGGCTTGTTTTTCTTTATGCTTTTTATTATTATTATTATTTTACTACGCAATTGAGATCATACACCTTTAGCAGTGAGTGCATGACTGGTCGAGTCACTAATTAAATGTTTTTCGCAGCAAGGTTCTGAAGTGGGCGTGGTCACACCTGTGATTGGCTGGCCGTTGATGCTCCAGGTAATGGCCGGTGTAGGGATTCCTTCTGCCTGACACTCCAGTCTGACTGTTTCACCAGGAGAGTACATCAAGTTCTGAGGCTCCTTCACCCAATAAGGCGCCGCTGAATTAAAAAGAAGGTTCCACAGAAAAAGGAAAGA